ATTTGCATATTGAGTTGCATATACAGTGAATCAAATAAAAACTGGGACACGATGTTTCAGCCAAGTTTTGGCTATTTTTCTTTAGTTTATTTACTGTTTATTCTTTTTTTATGAAAGTATTACATAACAAACACCATATTAATCCAAATTTCAAACTTTCTGCAGAAATTATGGAAATTCCGCAAGGTTTGACCTAACTTTCTAACTTCTAAATCAGCATCTTTAGACAAAATTTTGGTATGCAGTTTTGTAGCCCATTAAATTTTAGTACAATAAAGTGCACAGTTTGAGTAGCTGGGACTTACCGTTGATTTTTGGCTATTTTTATTTTTTTGACGGTGTTCCGCATTTTTTTCCACACAAAGTGTGTTCGACAAAAACCTTTATATGGAAGAAAATGCCTAGCACCGTCAGCGAAAAAAATAATATTAAAAATCAACGCGATTTTCTACAGTCGTGAGATTTACACTTTGACCTACTAATTGAATAAGTTATAGAACTGCGTTTCTAAAATGGTTTAGAAAGTTTTGAATAAAAATTTTAAAATTTTTGGATGCAATTGTTAAAGTTTGTTAAATTTGTAAAATACTTGTTGAAGAATTGGTTGCGTGTTTTTGTTAGAGCCACTGTGGTATCCTAACCTTTTTCCGTGTGTGCCCATCAGGCAGTGCCCGGTGATTATCCCGACCACTAATCTGAGAGAAGAGCGATCCAGCCGAGTGAGTGGCATGGATCGCTTTACATAAATCTTTAGCCGAATTTCTTTGGTAGATTCCATCTGGCATTTACCTCATTGATAAGTTCGGGCTTTAGTTTGTGTTTACAGGAGGTTAGAGGTATGCCCGCATTTTGAGCAGAATCGACTTCAGATATTTCTGTCCCTGTCCTTGCGAGCTGGTCGGCTATGCAATTAACAGGAACCCATACAACAGTCAAGGAGCATTTTTATGCCAGCGGGTTGAGAGTCTTCCTCCATTCTATGGCTACTTTGGGTGTTTTTCCGTTAGATTTTAGAGACAGGGTTAAAGTCTGTTGCTCGTTTCAATTGGTTCCTCTCTGGGATTTTTATGAAGAGTTTGTTGTCTAAACGGAGTAGAGGAGTGGTATAATCTAACTGTCGCAGGACTTTTGCTTACATCTAATCTAATTTCAAAATACAACGGCAAATATACAATTTCGGGCAGACAATCGATTCGGCACAAAACTGAATGTAACTAATCCACTCACAATTTCGCTTGAAAGCTTTGACGACAAATGTGTACCGGAGAAAGATTCCTTTACGCAACGGCTTCTTAATTTTATTGCCATAATAAGTAGAATGTAATGATTTGTAAACACAAAACTTTATTCGAATTTGTTTTTAATTTGTGAAAATACACAAAAGCAAATAAAACTAAAAATGTTTGAGAATAGCTAAGCATGGTCTCAATTTTAATCGCTCATCTCCGATGTAGATTAATAAGTGGTGTATGTAAAATACAATTTCCCAGCTTATTTCTTGTTTACAAAGACAAATATATCCACATTTGCACAACAAATTGGTATTTTCGTAAAGGAAATTCCATTTCAAGCAAACAACCATTATCCTCAATGTAGGCCCCGCAGCGTTTTGCCCTTGGCAGTTTCACATACTCGTAGTTGCTTGTATGTATGTATGTATTTATATGTACACAGACGTACGAGTAGCTAAGTTTTGCTTTCGTTTCTTTAAACCCAATGTCCAGTCAACCAATCCCACGCTTTTCTCACAAGCAATTTAAAATCACGCAAAAAATTTTAGCTGTACCATGCTTCGAGAAAATCTGTTGAATGTGATTTCAGTGATTGATTGTTTTAAAAGTGTGTATTCAAACATTCACTAAAACTCTAAATCAATAACTGGAAATCATTTGTTGATCCTGTGTAATGGCCCTTTAGCTCTGGTGCAAATAACGTTAATGGCCCTACACGCGTTCTGTTTTCGTGATTCATTTTACTGTGCTCATATCAGTGATGGTCTTTTACTAGTTGTCCTTTAAAGGAGTTAGTTTTGGTTAGCACCGTTGCTCTTTTTAGTTATTTTGCTCAACATACATTTATGTATACGCATGCTCTGCTATGCAGTCACATGTTAGTGGTTTTCGTTCCTTTAAACGATTTAAAAAATGTATGTATGTACATTAGGATGCATCACTCTCCATAAAAAAAAAAATCGTTACTATTTTTCCATCGGAAAGGCAAAGTTATTATATTTACGACTCTTGCACGTAAGTGAGCTGAAGCGATTGAAAATACCTCCAAAACCAAGTTTTTTAAACTGTCAATTACCATTCTCATTATTCCCGAAGTGTGGAAATCGGGGAAAGTGGTCCCACAGCTGACACCAGGGAAGCTAGCCAACAAAGGAAACGCCTACCATCCAATAACGCTACTTTCCTCCGAGCGAAGACACGTGAGGCCCTGCTACTCCCGCACTCCACGCACCACCCGACCCCAGAGAAGCATCAGCACAACAACAGCACTTAACGTCATAAACACTCAAATAACACGTGACCTTAACCGCAACCACCCCTGTGAGAGAACGGCTCCCTTAATGTTGAACCGGTCACAGGCGTTTAACACTGCTTGTCATTCCTCGCTGCTAGCAGGCATCGAGGCTTCCTCTCTCCCACCGGGACTCAAACGGAGGTCGTCAGTCGTCCGTAACCTTTCGAGATAAAACTTCAATATCTAGAAGAATTCAGCAAGTGGTTACACAGGGTGGTGTCCTTTCCCCTATTTTTTAATTTCTATATACCGAAGATTCCTCTGCCACCGAAGAGATTTTCCCTGATTTCATACGCTGAAGACTGCTCGATATTGGCGTCTGGAAAGGCACTTGATGACCTCTGCTCAAAAGTAAATGGCTACCGCTCCCCACTTTATCGCTTCTTCACTGCAAGGAGTCCAACACTCTCCCCAACGAAATCAACGGTGACCCTTTTCACCACCTGGACGAAGAACCACGGTGAAGAACCCGAAAATTTTAGGGGTACCTTTGATAGCCTTCCTTCATTCTCCGCGCACACAACCGCAATTTGCAATGAAGTATACAGACGAAAAATGGTCCTCACCTGGGAAAAAGACAAAGAAACGTTGCTGGAAACATACAAGGTATTGCATGCTCAGAGCTTCGACTACCACGCGAGGGTCGCGCTACTCTGGTGCAGTTACGGTTAGGATACTGTAGCCGTCTTAACAGTTACTTATCTAGGCTGTACCCGAATATCTCCAATTAGTGTGCGGCATGTGGAGACTCCTCTCGTCGAAACAGCTCGTTAACGATGTAAAAACCGACCCCTGCGGAGCTTAGTAATGCCGCTAGAACAACAACTGTGTGCCAGAAATTTACTGCTTTTTTGTTAGCAGGTACCTGTGCTTAGAAAGCATTACAGTGGTCTGGGAAGCCTAAATTTCAAGATTCGTTTCACAAACTTCTAAGCCCGTAAACCCCTGCTAGTGCTTTTCGCCAACTGTTGACCAGCACTCATTTGAAGAGATAAGAGTACAGAAAGAGCTAATTGAAATTTAGGTAAAAAAAAGTCAAAGCTTCCAAGAATACTAGAACGTCCATTCCAAAGCAACTAGGCAAAAAGTGGCAGGAAAAAGGTTTCACAGGCTTTCATAGGCCCAGAATCCTTAATCGGGCTACAATGGAGTTCCGTTAAGAGAGGGTTTTAAGTAAAAAACTAAAAGACTGGTTGGTCTGGAATCCTTAGGTGAGATGTGAGAGTGTTTGCCAGTCTTCGCCAATCTTGTCACACTCCAAGCCGCGGGAATATATCCCCGCACTACTACTTTTGATTGTATCCAAATAACGGATTTTGCTTAAAAGGATGTAATGTCCAAACAAGATTACACTTCGTCAGCAGAAGCTGCCTTGCATGGAACATAATACATCGTCCAGCAGCGACATCTCACTACTCCTGGGCCATTCCATACCTCAACGCACATAAAACTTAAGGATTCGTGACCTCCTTTAATACCTTCAAAGAAGGCCAGGCTTTATACCTCTTAGACTTCTTGACCTGTGAAGTGTATGTGTATGTATGTACTTATTGCCTTTTTTTTATCAACTTACCCATCCGAGAGTAACTTATGATGATTTCGTTTCTACCAAAAAATGTTGCCCTTGCACGGTGCAAAATGTGCTTGATGTAAAGATCCCAATTCGTTTTTAGCTTTCTGTAAAATGTGCTAACTTGAGGAACATATATAGGCATTTGGGTGGTCCTGAAAAATATCAACATCAAAATTTTGTATGGGGCACTCAGGTAAAAAATAAAAACATTCACGTAAACGAAATTAAAAAAAAAATATGAGTCGCTACCAGGACTGAAAAATTAAATTGTTTTTAAAATCGCAAAAACTCGACTTAATCTGTACTTTGAACAGCTATATTGAAACGTACTGAAACAAGTCCATATACTCGCTAAGTCAGTCCGAATTTTCGCGTTAAAAAATAGATATTTTCAAACCCGGGGAGCGACGCCAAAAATTTTTTTTATTTGCTTTTTTTGTTGGATGTTTTTATTTTATATGTAGAACAAAATAAGCCAGTGCCCAATGATGTTTATATTTTTAAGAACCACCCTTATATAATAGGTAGAAGTAGACATTGTGCCGTATGCCTAAAAACTAAGTAATTGCTTTTTCTTAAATTGCATACCTTTCACTTAAATTTATTTGTACAAATTAGGTGAAAGTTCTAAAATTTTAGGAAAAAGCATTTGCTTAGGTTTTATGCATAGAGCCCATTATGTATACCAAAATCTTCGAAAATAAGACAAGTATAGTCACACATTGGTTCAAATATCAGTAACTCGTTCTTATCAATCTTCTCTCAAAATTTAATTTAATCTTCTTCTCTCCTTTTCTTTTATATGTGCTTGTATGCCGTGAAATTCGGTTCGGAATTCCTTCACATTCCCCACCACCAATTGCATCCGCATTTGTCAACATTTCGCTCACCGTTTATGCAGCTCCTATTATACACGCCGAAAATTTCGTCCGATTTACGCCAAAGTTATGAATAGTTATGCCAATGCACACCGAAAATCTTCAACATATCAACGTTATGCTGGCGCGAATTCCTTGAGTTTGGTTACCGGATTGCTGCCATTCACAACGGAAATGGCACTTTTTGAATTTCCTTTCAATGAGTTGTTGGTAAGTAAATAGTTATGTAGCTGCGTATATACAGTCAGCGTCAAAATTATGAATACACCGACGTTATGACGTTTTTTTTTTTTATGTATGGTTTCCATACACAATTTTTCTTATCTTCTTTTTTAATACAGTTCATTCAATAGCAAAAACCAGCAGAATCATTTTTTTTTTCATATAGAACTCGGGAAAATTCGATTTTTAGATAAATTTTGAGCATGCAATTTTGTACCGTGTAGTTTTGAGAATTTTATTTTTGTTGTCAAGGGTGTTGCGCATTTTCTTCCATACATCAGATGAACAAAATATTTTTTTATATGGAAGAAAATGCGCAACACCCTCGAAAAAAAAACATCTAAAATCAACGGTAATTTTTAGAGACTTGAGACTTGTACCCTATTATACTAAAATGTAATGCGCTACAAAGCGTCAATTTTTCTAAGAAATCGAATTGAAAAGTTGAAAAAT